GGTTCGAATAGGGAAGGGGTGTTTTGTGGAATTCGTGTCCAAAGTTCTTAGAACCTCTTGGAATGTTGTGAAATGATTAGTTTAGGTTGTGTGGATCTTATTTGACTTGCTTAGAGTCAAATCTCTCTTCTTTTTAGTAAATTGACCATTTTGCCCTTAATTAACTTATTTTTGCTCATTTTTTTACATCTTGTTGTTTCTCCTTCGTTCGGACTCCGAATCATGCGATTCTTGAGTTCATCTTGATTAGTTTTTTGTTCTCTTTCCAGTGGTGTGCTCGGTACCACCCGAATGCATATTTCAGAAATGACTATTTTGTCCCTCGGGGCTTAATTGTTATTTTTTTTTCTATCTCTTGCCTACACACTTTATTCCTTTGGGTTCTGTGACCTCATGGAAGGTCATCTTAGGAACTTAAAGGTGTGTTATGCCTTGGGAGAACTTCGTCTTGTTTCTTGCTTCCGCATCTAGATCTGTTAACGAGTCAATCTTCAGTTCATTACTGACACACCGAGTTGAATAAAAACTCGGGTCACTACAATATTCATCAATCATTCCCATCTAACTTCTTTCAAACTCATCAGTCTTAATCGATTCGTACACAATGCTTTTCATGGTCTTCTTAATTGCTTTATATTGTGAAAGTTCGCTAAGTTTTACAGGAACCTTTTGCATGATATGGCAAAGGCATAAACGGTGACAAGAATCTGGAAACACCTTTGCAACTGCTGCTTGAATAGCCTTTCATTGATCTGTAATAATAGTTTTTGGAGGACACTCACGCATGCATGTTAACTATGTCTCAAATAACCATATATAAGTGTCAGTATCTTCCTTAGATAATAAACCACAACCGAACAACATAGATTGTCCATGATGATTCACCCCAACAAACGGGGCAAACGACGTGTCATACCTGTTTGTGAGGTAAGTAGTGTCAAATGAAATAACCTCTCCAAATGACTCATATGCAACACGACACCTTGCATCAGCCCAAAACACATTTCTTAAACGCCCTTTATCATCCGTGTCAATCATGTAAAAGAAATTTGAATTCTTTTTTTGCATACAAAAAAAATAGTTATGAAGGGCTTCGGCATCTCTAATCCCAAGTCAGAGTCGTCTTGCTTTTGCAATGTAATTCCTACACACCTTTTCACCAAAATGGCAAATTTTCATACCCACCGGCCTCAACAACAGCTGAATGAAAATTCTTATTCAACTTTATACCCGCTAAGTCATTTAATTCCATTCTTCTTTTGACATGAGGAACTAATGCCTTGTTGCACCTAAAGTGTCGTACCTTTGTTGGACTTAATGCATGATTATGGTTGAGGTAAACACGAGTAATAATGAATATTCCATCATCTTTAGTTGTAACGTTGATTTTAGCCTTTCAATTAGTCTTAATTAATGGCCTTGGGTGAAAAGTGTCTTTTGCGGTTGATTTTTGCTTTCCATACTGAGCGCATACAAGTGAAAAATACCTTGATTTTTTATCACGTCCATTCTTTGCACTGACTTTTATTACACCAAAACCTTGACTCCTAGCATAGTTGTTATAATAACTACGAACTTGTTCTTCAAAATAAAAAACCATTCCAACCATAGGTTTTTCAACTTCATCCCCAGGTAACACTCCTTTCAACTCTTGTTTGTTTGCTTTATCATCATTAGAACCTTCTTCCATTTCTAATAATATAAATATATGCATGTTAAGTACTTGATTATACAAATAAAAAGAATAAAATAAAATATTGCTTCAGATATTAACTAGTGTCGAATTTCTGGGTTTCAAAATGTATTAGTGCACGTCTTTAAAAGTAAACTCTTTTCCCCCCTTTTTGGATTATCATGTTCATATTGATAAATAAAAAAATAAATAAATCAACAAACATGGTATAAAATCAATTTCACTACTTGTATATCTCTTAAAAAAAATCAGAATAGAAGGAAAATATAGAAAGCAAACCCATCTTTCAATTTTATTGCTCATATATTTCTTAAAAAATAAAGAATTCAGAAGAGAAGGGAAATATAGAGAGCAAACTCATCTTTCAATTTTATTGCTCAAATATCTCTTAAAAAAATCAGAAGAGAAAGGAAATACAGAGAAAAAACCCATCTTGTTTCAATATGAAAAATATATATATGAAGAAGAACGATCTATATAAAAAAAGAAGAAAAAATATTATGTAAACTAGAATCCATACCTCCTGATATCGTTGTTTCATCAATCACTTCCATCCAAACTTTCCTTTTGGTCTGTTGCGTGAGGCTCAGCAAGACAATTCAAAAATGAAATTGTGATTAGAGCATCTCCAATAGACTCTCTAAAATTAGGCTCTCCGAATTTGCCACATCAGCATTTTTCAATAACCACATAAACATTTCCCATAGCCATATCAGCATTTTAGAGTCTCTAAATTTTAGCTATCGCATGTACTCCAGTGGTGCACTTTCGCTTTCCAAAAATATTAATATTTTAATATTTTTAAAATTTATTTTTTAACTTTTTCCTAACGGCTATAATGTCAATAGGAACATTAAAAAAATTTAAAAACGAAAAAAATAACTTTTTTCCAATTTTTTAAAACTTTTTTTTGCCTAAAAAAGCCTTTAAAACACTGTTTATGTCAGCCAAATAGTGCCTTAACGGCTATTTGATTCAATTATTTTAAGAGAAAAAAAAAGAGACTAAAATAAGCCAAAAATATGAATTTTAACTTTTATTTTAGCCAAGCATGCCCTTAGGAATAGTATTCTGGGCTTAGGAATAGTGTTTTGGCCTGAATTTAAAAAGTAAAATAAAACAAAAATGGGCCCACAAAAAGTGAGCCCAATCGCCAACCCACTCTTGCTTTCTAGCGACCATCATCAAGAGTCATTCTTTGGGGTCCACTTTTCCCATAGTCCATTGGAGCATCCAATCTAAAAAAATTGGCCCAATTTCGCCAAAAAGAGCATTGATGGAGTTGCTCTTAGTAAGCTTGAGGCAAGCAAGACACGATGAACACATATAAGAACGAAGAGAGAAAACAAATGAGATGATGAATATGCAAGAAACGAATAGGAAGGAAGTGTTATTTTGGTAGAATACGAAAATGTTGCAACTTCTGTTTTTTTTTTTTTTTTTTTGATAAATAGATGTTGCTATATTTTAAGTCAGACGCACAGAATTGACACATAGACGCCAAATAGGCTAAGTTGTTATATTTTAAGTCAGACGCATCGTATTGACACATAGGTGCCAAATAGGCTCGGTACAAAGTAGTGTATTTTTTTTTATTTTTTTTGTTTTTTTTTCCGGGAGAAATAGCAGTACTCTCCCCAGTTAATTTATGGTCCTGTTATGCATAAATTTAGGGTAAAGTGCAAATAACCCCCCTGAACTATGGGGAAATTTGTAACTAACCCCCTGAACTACCAAAAATGCAAAAAACCCCTCAAACTATACAAAAAAGTTGCAGATCACCCCATCCGGTGACCGGCCGTCCAAAAATGAGCGCGTGATTCACACGCGACAGACAAACTAAGTTTTTTGGACAATAATGCCCTTCTATATATGAAAATACCAAATTATCCTATAACCACCACCACCGTCGTCTATGACCACCACCACCTTCTGCAACCACCAACATAACCACCACCATCGTTCGCAACCACCAACATAACCACCACGAAACCCTCTTGAACTCATGCCAAAACACACCGTTAAACGAAATCAAACCCACCACCATCACTACCACCTCCATCGGCATCTCAACGGCACACCACCAAACCCAATCGAACCAGTACACAAACCCACAGCCACCACCCCAATCCCGCCACCACCATCACCCGTCATCACCAACCACAGCCCAACCTTCTCTCCATCAAACCCATCACACACCGTGAAACCAAACCCCCACTAACCCACTGCCATCACCCCCTTCAAACACAATCTTTGGTTCTCCCTCGGGAACAAAGGCGGCATGGAACTGCTACTCGGTGGCGTCGGATTCCGGTCTGATAGCGGAGCACTAGTATGGGCGGCGATGGATCCGTACGCGAGCAACGAAGCTTTCAATTGCAGCAACGGCGATCTGTTCAAGTGGAAGCACTTGTGGAGAATGATTGCGGAGTAATTTGGGGTCGATGAAAACGAGAAGTGGGTGACCGTCCCGATCGGAACAGGGAGGTTGGCGGATGAGGCGAAGCTCAGCCGCTATGCAGCTAAGCCGCAACCAGCCCATCGTCGCGAGTTAACCATGGCCGAACCAGCCCATCGCCGTTCAGCCCACCTTGCTCGCCGGTCCTCTCCACCATCCGAGCTCGTTCCAGCTGTCATCGCAAGAGACGGTGGCGGGGCAGGCGCAGGAGATGACGGCAGCGAGATCCCAGCGGCGACAAGGATGATTTGGTTTTGACGCGTCGACTCCGCATCGTCACCATAATCGCCGACTTACGTCCTCTTCCGTCACCATAATCGCCGCCGCCGCCACCATCTTTTTCCTTCATTTTCTTCACGATTCAATCTCCAGCCTGATGCTTCTCTCTCTCTTCAATCTCCAATGTTATATATATATATAAACACATATATATAAATTCAGTTTAAAACCAGAAATATATATATATATATATATATATATATATATATATATATAAACGCATATATATTTATATACCTTATACAGTAGTGAATAATCATAAGGGCAATTCAGACTTTTTATTTTTCCGATTAAGTCAGTCACCGAAATGGACTGAAATGCAACAAATTCATAATTTAGAGTTTTTTTTAGTTTAAGGGAATTAGTTATAATTTGTCAATAGTACAGGGAAGTTATTTGCACTTTACCCATAAATTTATTATAGAGGACTTTTAAGGTAGTTCGCCTATGCTATTCTCTTAACGTAAAAAATAAGAGAGCTCTCCGTGCTACAATGAGGTACCTCACTATAGTTTTACTCGTCCAACTCCGTCGTAAACGTGCCATGAATGCCATGCGTGTATACACGTGTGTATATATATAATCAATCCACAGTCCCACTTATCTCACACTACTCACACTCGCGCACTCTACCAGACTCATCAATGGCGGCTTCTACCTCCTTCGCCCCGTCTGTGGCCGCTGCTGCTGCTGCATAATCTTCATCCAAAAACCTAAAACCAACCTTCAAAACCCTAGGTACGAATCTAGGGTTTCTTTATTCATCATCTTCAAAGACATACTTAATGCCACTCAAAGCTCGAGTCATGTCTTGCAATGGGGCTGGATCGAGCTCAGGCTCAACTCCCGGGGCTCGTATGGTCGCTACGCCTGAGCTTAAGCCTCTCACGTCGCTCGATTTCGAAACCTCCGTCTTCAAGAAGGAGAAGATCAGTCTCGCGGGGCACGACGAGGTATTTCCCTCTCTTCTCTCTCTCTAGAAATTGTTCTTGTGCTCATTTTTAACTGGTGATGATTGCTCGATTGGTTTTGTTTTGTGCATTGTAGTACATTGTGAGAGGAGGGAGGGATTTGTTCCATTTGCTACCAGATGCGTTCAAGGGTATCAAGCAAATTGGTGTTATCGGTTGGGGATCGCAGGTGAACTTGATTATTTTCTTGATTCCCAAACAGTATATTATTGGTTTTATGTGATTTTCTGTTTTATTTTGTGAATAATCGTTGAATTATCTTTTAATTATTTAACATAATTGATATAATTCTCATGGATGTATTTAGGGCCATGCTCAAGCTCAGAATCTAAGGGTTTCTCTTGCATTTCTTATTGCTGGAGAACATTGTAAAATAAAATATGGGAATGGATTGTTCTTTTGCTCTGAATTCGGTTTTTGAAAAAAAAAAAAAACCCGAAGATAGAATGAAAAAAATGCTAAAAGTTTGATTCGTCCTTGGAGCGCCTTTGATCAGTTTTCCCTTTTCTCCTCAATGTTTTCAAGAATGAAATTGGTTTTTAAATCTTGTTTCCAAATATGAAAAAATTATCTAATTTAAATAAATTTTAAGTTTCAGTCTAATGGCAGAATTAAATATCAGCAAATGCCAAACAATGGACAAATCCATACTTCAAAATATTTTGGTTCTCCATTTGAGAAAATTACATTCTGAAAATGGGACCCTTTGATCTTCCATTGCTATTCTTTTTGCGGTTATATTTGTTGATGACATGTCTAAACTTCTTAGGAAAGTCATAAAACGAATTCTCTTATGTAGTGTTGGCGCAATCTTTGATAATAAGCTAGATATACTATCGTCACTCTATCCGAGTTGTTTCTTGCAGCGCTCTTTATTGATGATAAGTTCCAAACTTATGGAGAGTTGGAAATTGATTTCCTTTTCTCAGTGTCAGCACGACACTCTTTTTGATGGTAGGCCTAATATACATCCTTGTCTGTTGTTGCTCATATGCTTTTATGCAAATTATATAACTTTATTTATCATTATAACATCATCATAAGAAGTGTGGACACAGATGCATGATAAAGACACAACAGATTAATCTTGGAAAAGTAGGACATGGAGGCGGAGAGGTCACAACAGTAATATATATATTTCTTTATATAAAATTTATATTACTAAATCTGATATTCTAGATGAAAATTTTTCACTTATAAATTATATTGATTATAATCAACCTCGCCATAGAAAGAATATCATAATAAGGGTATAAGATAGGGTGTGTGCGTGTGTTTGGGTTTGTACTTATATATGCATATGTGTATGCAATTTGATGACTCCTCTCTTAATTCCATGTATATGATCAAGCTTTTAAAAGATTTTTTGGAGCAACTATTTTTCTATATTAAAAGAAAGCCTTATCCAATGTCTGTGTTCAATAGTTGCATGTTGGCCAGTGTGTAGGAAGTCTATGGCATGTTTGAACTTCAAAATTTAATTTTGAATTTATAAACACCTCCAAAAGTTGTCAAACACTTTTTTTTTTTTTTGATAAGTTCCAAAAGTTGTCAAACACCTGGCTAGGAGTGTCTGATATGGACATGTCTCCTCTTTAGAAGTGTCCATGCTTCTCGGATAGCAATGACATGTAACCTTTTTGACAATATAAATAAATTTATTAATTTGATTCTCATTTCTTTTCATTTCCTATATTTTCTCCAACAAAATATTGGATCATTAATCTTTGTCATGTTGGACTTAACTTGTAGTTTGATCTCTTTGTCATTTTGTGTATTACTGATATCAAATGCAGTTTAGTTCAAATCTTGTATATTATTATAATTATCATTACCAGATAGATTAAAGTTCTGGAATTGACTTGGTGTTTCAATGGTTGTCTGGATACTTTGAAAACAGAAACATTTGAATGCACTTGCGTTTTGGTATCAGTAGCAGATTGGTTTTAGGACAATTTGTAATTTGTAGTCAGAAATATTCCTGTTCTACGATGATGTTGAATTAGAAAGGTACATTATTGTTGAATTTACCTAGTAGTTTAGGTTACACGCACTCGTTGGCATTTTTGTGCATGACTTGGGATGTGAAAGGAGATATTTCAAGTATCTTTGGTTCTAACATGAACGTTTTCCCTCTATGATCTCTATCTGCTGTGAAGGTGTGTAATTGCATGCATTAATGAGCCGCTCTTTTCTTTTCAATGGATAAATGAATTTCATTATTCTTAGTTCTTTTTACTGATGTTCTATTTAATATAATCGGTATCATTCTCATGGATGTATTTAGGGCCCTGCTCAAGCTCAGAATCTAAGGGATTCTCTTGCAGAAGCAAAATCAGATATTCTGGTCAAGGTGATATTAGTTCTCTCTCTCTCTCTCTCTCTCTCTCTCTCTGTGTATTAATCATAGCTTTATATGCTAAACTAGTTTCTCTATTATGATGTTTGCTATATTCGCTTTGTAACACAGATTGGTCTTAGGAAGGGTTCTCGTTCTTTTGGGGAGGCTCGTGCTGCTGGTTTCATTGAAGAGAATGGAACCTTGGGTGATATATGGGAAACTATATCGGGCAGCGATTTGGTGCTGCTCTTGATTTCTGATGCAGCACAGGTTCATATATCGTACAGATGTTCCTGTATCTTAAATATTAAATGTTGAAAGTTGCTGGTATGCTATTCTATGCTTTTGGTTTGCAGCTATCAGGATTTAAGTAAAAATATCTCAATAAATGATAGTTTTCTACTCTTCATGTTTCTTTAATGGTCCATGTGAACTTTTATCTCCTCTAGAAAATTTTGAACTTCAATCAGTTCTCTTACGTGCGCTGGGTCTAGAAGAAACTGCAAGCTAATTATGAATACATGTTTGATGTATAATGCTATCTAATCATGAAAGCCTTAATTTCACGAGTACTTGAGAGGCAAAATTTACTTATTTACCTGGATAGCAATATTACCTAATAACTTTTAGAAACTTAAATAACTTAAAGACTAAAAGTTGCAGTTCTGTTTTGTACAAAATTAGCCAAACTAAGTCCTATAAAAGTCCCAACTTGTCGTCATCATCCTTCTCTTGGTCCAACTCGAATGGGTTAGTTCACATGAATTCTCCTTTTTCCATATTTTCTATTGTAAGCTGTCTCCAATTGTATTTAATTTCTACAGGCCTTTTTCAATTAATTCGTTCCACATCTACGTTAGTTTTGGTCTGCCTCTTTCTCTATTACCTTCTATGTTTACTAAAATTCCTTTTTTTGGGTGCATTTTCTGGTTTGCATTTGTGCATGACCAATTTGACATTTGGACACATACCTAATACTCATACCCAGCATAATCATACCTAGGTTCATGTGGCCAATACAAGTACTTATTGCATGTGGAAGTCTATGTAACATAAGCTGACATGGCATAACGTAAGATGCCAATGTGACTTATCAAAAAAAAAAACGTAAGATGCCAATGTGACGTCACATGTCCATGAGGTGGCACCATTGGTGGTGGGTGGAAACATGTGGCTCTTGATGACACCATGTGACTGCCAACACGGTGGTAGGCTGGTAGCATGCTTACCTATTGGGATACCTAGGCATTTTCAACAAAAGTAATATTATATATATAATTTTGATTTCTAATGGATCAGTTTTTTCATGCTGTTCAAGAGTTGAATCTTGGAATATAGATCCTACCACACACAATTGTCTTATTTCTTTTTTTAATTTATTATATATCATGAATTGTGAGGGAGTAAAGATAAGGAAGTTGAGAGCTACCACATTGATCCTATTACAAACCTTAATTTGATATCAGAGGTTTATATATTTGATATATAAAGAGACCAGAAAATATTATAAGTTTGAAGAACTACAGAACCAACGGGCCAGTGGCCTAGCGGTATCAGGCCCTTACTTTTCAAAGGAAAGTCAAGGGTTCAAGCCTCCATGGAGGCATGTGTGTGTGAGTATCAACTATGAAAAAAAAAAAAAAGAAAAAAAAAAAGAACTACAGAACAAGAAGGATGAGGGACCCTTAGTAGAAAGTACAAGGAAAAAGGCAAAATAAATACAAAATGCACTCACTGAAGTCAAATGAAAGCACCCACAAGCCAACCAAGCGGTTGCAGGATCTTGAGGAGCATGCAAGTGACCTCTCATAGGAACAACCATATTATGAGACTTTGCTGGAATGCTAGTAATTTAAATGATGGCAAGTGTCATGGAAAATCAGATGATGTCAACATGATGTGAGTGAATTCCATTGCCATATTTATGGTACTTCACTGGAATAATGGTCATTTAGATGATGTGATGGAAAATATCATGAAGTATCAGATATTTTAAGCATTTCAGCATGCTATGGCTGTCTGCAACAGTCTTACTTCCATTTCATTCCGGGCCATGACTGTCTTGCATTTATATATTTCTTCTTCTTCTTCTTATTATTATTATTATTTGGTTACAGGCTGATAATTATGAGGAAGTGTTCTCCCACATGAAGCCAAACAGCATACTTGGGCTTTCCCATGGGTTTCTTCTTGGACATTTGCAGTCAATGGGCCTTGATTTCCCTAAAAACATCAGTGTAATAGCTGTATGTCCCAAGGGAATGGGTCCGTCTGTCAGGAGACTCTATGTTCAAGGCAAAGAGATAAATGGTGCAGGAATCAATTCCAGTTTTGGCGTCCACCAGGTCTCTCTCTCTCTCTCTATATATATATATATGCATATTCTATCTTGCATGCACGCTTGTTTTTTATGTTGCTTGGTTGTGTTCTGTAAGGCTTTTCAAAAACCCAATTTTTTCCGTGGACAGGATGTTGATGGCAGAGCAACGGATGTTGCCCTTGGATGGTCTGTTGCCCTTGGTTCTCCTTTTGCATTTGCCACAACTCTAGAGCAGGAGTACAAGAGTGACATATTTGGAGAGCGAGGTGAGTGTGGTGTCATTTATCGTTATTTTGGTATCCCCTGCAAATGATGTCTGATCATTCGCTCCTTTGATCAATAGGCATTTTACTCGGTGCTGTACATGGAATTGTGGAATCCTTGTTTAGAAGATATACTGAGAATGGAATGAGTGAAGACCTTGCTTACAAGAACACTGTTGAATGCATAACAGGGATAATCTCGAAAACCATATCAACTAAGGTTAAATACTTGTGAACATCCAAGGGGAGGATTTTTTTTAACGATTTTTGGATTTCATCTATTCCCTCTCCATCATTGTGGTGTGCGTGGTTGTTGTGGTGGGTGGGTGGGTGTGTGCGGGGGGGGGGGGGGGGGGGGGGGGGGGGGTTGGGGTTTGGGGGGTGGTTGTGTGTTGTGGTAGTGGAAGTGACTCCTCCCTCTTTGTCGGCCGCTACTTGTTTTAAAATTGTTTTCCCAATGTATATTGTTCCTTGCAACAGGGTATGTTGGCTGTCTACAATTCTCTGTCGGAAGATGACAAAAGGGAGTTTGAGGCTGCATATAGTGCCTCGTATTATCCCTGCATGGAGATCTTATATGAGTGCTATGAAGATGTTGCCAGTGGTAGCGAGATTCGCAGTGTTGTCCTGGCTGGGCGTCGCTTTTATGTATGTTAGTTTCCTTTCTGATGTTTACATACATGGTTTGAATGCAATGCTATTAAATTATTAATCACTGATGTTAAGCGTAGGTTCGTGAATGTTTGAGATCTTTATGACATTTGAAAGAAGGGTAAATTACACTAACCTCCCCTGAGGTTTGAGCAAATATCAGACAGATTGACCGATTGGCTTTTATACTGAGCTCCCCTAATTGCCTTTTCCGGTGGCCGGAATAAGTAAAAAGCCATTCATGCCCTTTTTATTACAATATATTATATATTTTTGTTAATATGAAACTCACGTGCACTGCACAATCTTTACGTCTCTACCAATATCAATCACAACCCATCTCTGATCCCAAGCCGGATCCAAAGACGGAATCATTGACAACCCTCAAATCCGACCACGCACTCAGACGACGGTAGAATCTCCGGTCTCCACCCTCCACCGCCACAACTCCAACAACCCAATGACAGATGGTATCTTCTTCATATCGCCACAACTCCCACAGCCCACAAACTCTCATCATCTATAATCTCCAAAATCCCCAATCAGAAACCTTATAATCTAAACATATTTTGCTATCAACGCAAAATCCAATCTAAATTCGGAGAATTTTGGGAATGTATTTAGCCTAGCCAATCTTCATCTCTAGCTTCTTCTGTGTTGGTTAATGGCTAGTGGTGAGATCAAGAAAGAGACCCATGGTTGGTGCACTAGACGGATCCTCTGTACTTGTTATCGCCGTCAAGATTGACCCACACTTGGTCTTCGAATTAGTAGTACAGAATTTTTAGAAAGAGGGGATTCCTGTGGGTGGTGGTTAGAGTGAAGAACAAAGAAGACATCAAAAGGTTTTTTTTTTTTTTTTTTTTTCTCTCGAAAGAACATCAAAAGTATGTGTATTTGTATGGGTTATATATATATATATATATGTATAGATATTTGTATGTGTATATATATATATACACACACATGGATTGTAGAAGAAGAAGGAATTTTATGTGTTAATATATATTTATATATCTGGGTCTTCTTATTGTGTTTTCATATAAGAAGGGCAAAAAGAGCTTTTTTAAAAATTTGATTGACAACTTTGCCAGAATTTTCTTTTTAGGAGTGTTATTGAGCAAATGCATCAAATGTTAGGGGAGGTCAAAGTAATAAAGGTTAATCGGTTCATTTGTGTGATATTTGCTCAAACCTCAAGGGAGATGAGTGTAATTTACCCATATAATAATGCAGGTTATTTTGATATGCTTCTATTTTTACAGGAAAAGGATGGTCTACCATCTTTCCCTATGGGCAAAATTGATCAGACACGGATGTGGAAAGTAGGTGAACGAGTTCGAGCAACACGTCCAGGAGGTGACTTGGGGCCGTTATTTCCTTTCACTGCAGGTGTCTACACAGCAGTTATGATGGCCCAGGTGAGCTCTCTTTTAAAGTTTCAATTTAAAATTTGTTATATACTTTTAAAGGAATTCGAACAATGATGCAATATAGATTGATATTGAGGATTGCTTAAGAAGTATAGATTGATATAGATTTTGTAACTTGATTTTTTTTTTTTTTTTCCTGAATTATGATTTTGTAACTTATTTTTTTTCCTGAATTATTTTTTTGTAACTTAATTCCTCCAAATTATCCAGAAATAAATGTCTAAGCAAGAGCGATGTAACAGAATAGTAAAATGCAGTTGGTGTTTGATAAATTAATTCAAATAATGATGCTATTTGAATCTAAGGAGCAGGGATTTTTAACTTCATACTGTGAATTTTGCTCGGTGAACATGAATTCTATTTGCTTTTTACTTCTTTCAACAGATTGAGATTCTGAGGAAGAAAGGGCACTCCTACTCAGAGATCATCAATGAAAGTGTGATTGAGTCAGTGGATTCATTGAATCCTTTCATGCATGCCCGTGGAGTTTCTTTCATGGTTGATAATTGTTCAACAACAGCACGGCTAGGATCAAGGAAGTGGGCACCACGTTTCGATTACATTCTCACGCAGCAGGCCTTCGTAGCGGTGGACAATGGTGCTCCCATCGACCGTGACCTGATCAGCAACTTCCTATCAGATCCCGTGCATGGGGCCATTGAAGTCTGTGCCGAGCTGAGACCTACAGTTGACATCTCTGTGCCCCCAGATGCCGATTTTGTCCGCCCTGAGTTGCGCCAATCTGTCAACTGAATTGCCGTTATTTATTCTTTTTTCATCGGATCTCCTTCTATGGATTGAAAAAACATAATAATTTGTGATACAGCAATAGTAGGGTAAGAAGAAACAGTTGCAGTTAGCTCCTATTATATAAATAAATGGACAAAGGATAACTATGGATATGAAACTAAAGAATGGCAGTAATAAATTTGTTTTTCCCTATTGAGCAGCATAACACAATAGAGTTCAAATGCCAAATATGAACATATTACATCAAATGCATACCAGGGAAAAAAAAAAGAAAAAGAGAGTTTTAATCATAATTTGTTAATTGACCACCTGTAGGAAGCTGCACTTTTCCTTTTCCGAACTATTTATTAGTATTAGTATTGTAATTGTTGTTGTTGTTGCTGTTGTTGTTGTTTTTGCTGACACAAAGTGGACTAATCATATTTTTCAGAATATTCAATGTTCCAGCATGGTTGATCCTGCAGTGAGCTTTTCAGAAGATATAACACACCAAATTGATCCACTTAATCATTTTATTTTTATATTTTTTAATCCATTCTGAAAGTTCATAGATTCTTGAATTTACCTAGACCTTAAACCATGATACATATGTACATGAAATTGAACTCTTCGTATCTCGACACTGTTCATTGAGCGCGTATCATGAATATAGAAGAGACCGAACTTCACTGGAATCTTAAAAAAAAAAAACAAAGGACTTCCTTTGTATCCTTAGCAGATTATTTTTAGCAACAATTACAAAAGTGGACACCAAATGAACAGAACATCAAAAGGCCGTAAACATTGAACATAAAATTAAGAAAAAAATTGGGAAAAACATAGTGCAATAACCTCCAATGTAACACTCGAGTGACAGAGAGATTTGAAAGATGAACTATACAACTATTTCAATTTGATCCAATCTTGATTTATTACCACTATCTTGTCTCAAATTAGATGTACACCAAATGAATGTGCAAGAATCAAAATAAGTTCATGAATTAGGAATGAACCATTGCTTCCCTAATCTACATCAATGAAATTGCAACACAGACACACCCAAAAGCACATTCAATTACACATTAAATTTAAATTTCGACGACTTGTCAAAATTTTGAAGATTGGCTATGTTGCCATTCCTTCTCCTCTATTGTCTTTGCAATATCTGATTGAATTGCCTTGACAGAAAAGCAAAATCATCATTAGATTTGTTATCAACATAATTCTCAACCTGTGTTGATTTTAAAGCAAAATTCTTCTCCTTTTGATTTAAATCAAAATTCTGCATCTCAAAATTTTTTAATGAACCTACAACCTCGTCAACTTTAGAGATAGACAAATCCGTTCAGTGATAATTTCTACCCTTATTTGAAATCTTTTAGGTAAAGACCTTAGGATTTTCTCATTAATTTTCTTATCACTAACCCTTTTGCCTAAGTGACGCAGTTTAAAAATAATTTCAAGAAAACTAAAATAAAAATCAGAAAAGGATTTATCTTCTTTCATCACGATGTTCCTAAAGTTATGAGAAACCATCTGAATTTTGGATAACTTCATTTTTGAAGTCTTTTCATGAGTAACCTGCAAAATATCCCAAGTGTCTTTAGCAGTTTTACAATAAGAAATTGTAACGACCTAAACCCGCAGGTCCGAACCGCTAACCGAGTTTTTGCCCGAACCCAAAGTCACCTAAGTCAATGCCACATCATATCTAGTGTTCATTCATCATCCTTGCATTCTAAATAAACTCCAAGAAGACTCTAATCAACTTTCCAAGGTTTGGGGTTACTTAAACCAAAGAAAGAAACCAAGTGCACAATGCAGTACCATTTCGGTCGACCAAAATAGAGCTTCGGTCGACTGAAATGGCCCCTGAAGTGACCCTTGAACCAGTCAACCGAAATGGCCATTTCGGTTGGCCGGTTGTGATCCCAATAGTAACTGAACCTACTGGAATGATCGGCCGACCGAAGTGCCCATTTCAGTCTGCTGAAATGGCCCTGCGAACTGTAAAATCTACAGAAAACTGCTACATACATGGAAATGAAAAAAATAGTCTTAATGAAGACCTTGAAACTGATATAATCCCCTCCCAAGGTACTGTAAAATGATGAATCATAACCCATACATTCAAAATATAAAATTTACATGTCATTTACATAGTTCCAAAGTCATTTACATGAACTTTACCATATATAAATCAAGTTTGCAATCTATGCAACAGAATACAACTACTAGCATCCGTGAGTCTCATTACTAAATGGTGTGTGTTGTCGGTGTACAACCAAATTTGTGCAAAATAGCGTGGCCAAGTTTTAAATTTATAAATGCCTCTACTACCTCTAAGTAAAAAGATAGCTAGGGTGAGTAAGGATCGTCCCAAGGGATTTTTAGGCATACTTGTAATGGAAACAATGTACAGGGTTAGTAGGTCGAGTGATCAAGAGATGGTGTGTTTGGTTGATTAGACTACAAACTAAATTAAACAAGTTCAATGTAGAATAAGCAAATTAAATGAAATTTAGAGAAAACAAGAGAGTGAGGTCTTGGGGTTTAGAAGTCATCACTAAGCATCACCATTCTAGACATTCAATGCATAATTAATGAGAGGAAACATGTGTTACAATTTAAGAGTATGTGATTGATTGTTTCAACAAGTATGGATGACCAATTAATCATATATTGTCTAAACAACCTAGTGAATAACACAATACATCAAACTAAGCCATTAATCTCTCCTTTAAGCTCACAATCCAAACACATCACATGGTTAGAGAATAATACTACTTGCATTCATAAGCATGGAACATCAAACAATAAGCATGGATTGTCCTCCCATCTAATAACTAAGGCAACTACACTACAACTAAGTTAAGAGCATGAAAATTAAGCTAAAGAAACTAAAGGAGAGGCATAATCCATCAAGACATTAGTATGAACCATCAAATAAACCACAATAGTATTCCATTAAGCACTATGCCTTGACAATCTCTAGATCCATAGCATCAATACATATAGACATGCATCAATACCACAAAAACTAGAGATAAACACATGAACATCTATTTTAGCATACATAGACATATGGATAGAATGAAATGATCAATTAGAAGTATTAAACCGCACAAATCATTGAATAAACAAGATTCATATATAAAATAAGTGTCAAGTGGTGGCTCCCTTGGGGGTCGCACCCCGTGGTCCAAAAAGTTTGTGCACCACAAGATAGTAGTATAGAGCTATGATGAATGTGGCCAAGTTTTACATTTAGAAATTGTCACTACTACCTTTCACTAAAAATATAGTTAGGGTAAGTAGGGATCGTCCCAAGGGATTGGTGGGTCGTACTAGGTTGAGGAATCAAGATTAGGGTTAGTAGGTCGAGTGATCAAAAGATTGGTTGGTGGTTGAATTACACTAAGATACAATTTAAACTAAAGTAGGCAATTAAATGTAAAGGAGAGAAAATAAGAGAGAGATCTTGGGGTTTAGAGATCACCTCTACGCATAACTTTTCTACACCTTTAATGAATGATTAATATGGGGGGGGGGGGGGGGGGAGGGGGGAACATGTATTGCAACATAGTGTGTGAGTGGTTGTTTCAACAAGCATGGATGACAAATTAAACACATATTGTCTAAGCAACATGGTGGATAGCACAATATATCAAATTAAGCCATTAATCCTTTCTTTAAGCTCACAATCCAAACATATCACAAAGTTAGAGATATATGTTACTTGCTTTCATAAGTATGGAACATCAAACAACAAGCATAAATTGTCCTCCCATTTAACACCTAAACTACAACTACACTACAATTAAGCTAATGACATGAAATTAAACTAATTAAACTAAGGGAGAGGTACAATCCATCAAGAAATGAGTATGAACCATCAAATAAACCACAAGAACATTCTATTAAGCACTATGTCTTGACAATCTCTAGATTTATAGCATTAATATACATAGACATGCATTAATAACACAAGAAATAGAGATAAACACATGAACATCTATTCTAGCATACATATGGATAGAATAAAATGATCAATTGGAAACATTAAACCACATAAATCATTGAATAAACAAGATCTATATATATATAAGTGTCAAAGCATGTATCACAATACAAATCCCCTCAAAAAAACATAAATCAAGATGTAGAAAGCATGTTTAGGGCTAACTCTAGCCCTAAGAGGATGTCTATCCACTCATAGATGGTGTCCTCCAACCCTCAAGGGCTAACTCCATGGTAGAGATTGCTCTTCTTCTTGGTTGATGGAAGAATTCCAAAATTGTGTCTCTAACCTCCTCCTTTCTTTTCTTCCTTGCTAAGAATATGAAAATTGTGCCTCCTCTCTTTTCTAAAGTGTCTCAAGTATATCTCTCAAAAAGTGGCTTATAGTCCTTATATAGGTAGGTTAAATATCACCCCAAATGAGCTGGGCTCGTACACCAATATTCCTTCCAATGATTGGATATGAGACAAATTTTAATAAGTTGGAAATTGGATTTTCTCAGGATTTGGGGAGTTCGATCAATCGAACTTGTGGTGAGATCAATCGAACATTGTTGAGATCTATCGAATTTAAGCTAGATTGATCCTCTATGGCGGCGCCTTTTTGGATAAAAAACAAATCTGAGATATTTTGAAAATATTTTTGGGAAAGTGACAAATGTGGTAAGTAGGGTGGTACAAGTGGATAAGATGAAATCTTTTCGATTGATCGGAATAAAGTTGGATCAATCGAACTTTGTGGGATCTTTGGATAAGGACAAAAGAGCTTGGATCCATCTTGGAATGCTGAGATCGATGAACTTTCGATCGATCGAATATTTTCTGAGATCGATTGAACTTGCTGAATTTCCATCACTTGCTTCCTTTTGCTCCCACTTTGCTCATTTCTTTGATTCATCTCAAGATTGCTTCAATTATGCTCTTATTTAGCTGAGTTAGCTTATTTTGGGGATAAGTACCTGAAAATGGAAATAATACAAAATCAATCTAAAGCGGGAAAATAAGATAGATAAAGGTTCTAGAATACCTAAGCTTAAGGGGTTTAAATGCGCACTTTTTAGCGCTCATCATCAAGACAAGATTACAACACAAATCCTCTCAAAATACAAAGCAATAGAGTTTAGAAGGCATGCTTAGGGCTAGCTCTAGCCCCAAGAAGATTTTAGCCACTCATTGAAGTAGTCATCCAACCC